AGCAGGTAAAATTCATTTGGAAGAAATCCTAGCCACGACAATGAGTTCCGTGAAATTCGACATTGAGAAATTCAATGGGAGGAACGACTTCGGCCTATGGAGAGTAAAGATGAGAGCTCTATTGGTTCAACAGGGTGTTGCAGAAGCCTTGCAAGGGTCGGGGGCATTGCCGGCCGACATGACCGAGAAGGAGAAGATCGGCATGCTGGACAAGGCTCACAGTTTGATAATCCTGAGCCTGGGTGATAAAGTTCTGAGGGAGGTGTCGAGGGAGAAAACAACTAAAGCACTTTAGGCCAAACTCGAGGTACTCTACCTGACAAAATCTCTAGATAATAGGTTCTTTCTGAAGCAGCGCCTATACTCCTTCAAAATGCATGAAGACAAATCCATCTCAGAGCAGATCGATGAGTTCAACAAGATCATCGATGACCTCGAGAACATCGACGTCAAGATGGACGATGAGGACAAGGCACTACTGTTGCTAAACTTTATTCCTAAGAGCTACGAGCATTTCAAGGATGTGATACTCTATAGAAGGGTGCAGACTATTACTCTAGAGGAGGTTCAATATCTGATTAGAGACAAAGATTAGAGTCAAAGATTAGAGGATGCATGACAGAGACAAAAAAGTCAGCGGAGACAGTCTTATTGTCAGAGGAAGATCGGACAAGAAAGATTCAAGAAATGGTCAGTACATATCAAGGTCAAGTAAGGATGGCGGGAATCAGTCATCAAGGAAATTTTTCAAGTGCTACATTGTCACAAGGATGGTCATTTCAAGAGAAACTGCTCAGACAGGAAGAATAAGTACCAAGAAGAGCCAGAAGAATCTTTACTTCGAAGCTTCTAAATTGAGGGTCAAGGTGGAGAATTGTTATTTTGACCCCAAATTAATGAACTAAAGTAAAATGACACTTTTGTAATGTGGTACCGCTCACCTACCACATCTCACCTACCACATCTCACCTACCGTTCACCTATCGTTCACCTACCACTCACCTACCGCTCACCTACCTCCCACCTACCACTCTCTTGCTTCTTTAAATAGAGAGGGCGAGAGGCTTAGGAGAGCAAGGGAAAAGATCTTAAGCCATAGCTAGAGAGCTAGAGAGGAGGAGAGCATCTTGAGGCCTTGTATCAAGGTGTCGCTTGAGAGGGAGGCCATAGAAGGAAGATGAAAGCTCATCTCTATGTATAAGTTATGTATTCTCCATTTCTTTGCCTTAGTGAACTATTTGATTGATTCCCCGTGGACGTAGATCTAGTTGGATCGAACCACGTAAACGATCTGCGTTTGCTTGTGTTCTTTTTCTTGTGTTCTTTGCTTGTGTTCTTTTTCGTCTCATCTCTATGTCAGGAAGTACATATCTCACAACAAGATCAATAGTCATTTTAAGAACAAAATACAACATACAAAACTCCTATTATCAATATATAAAATTCTAAAAATATATTATTGTGTTATATAAAAATAAAATAGGAGAACAATCTTTGACAAAGTGAAAAAATAGAATGGAAAAATTCACATAAAAATAACTGTAACACAGCGGAACACACAAATTTACGTGGTTCGGCAAATTGCTACTTCCACGGAGTTACAGAGGATTTTACTACTTGAGGAATATACATCAGTCAATCGTCTCGACTTATATAAGGAATCTCTCACTTCCTTGCTCTCTCTTCTTCTTTCTCTACACCGAGATACACCGAAGAAGATAAACTTACAAGAGAAATAAACTCAATTTCTCTTCTGCCACAAGCTACCAAAAAGAAGCCAAGGAAAAACAATCTTCTTATTCTTCTTTCTTCCTTTCTCTCTCAGCTTTCGACCGTAAACCTCTTGTGGCAGTCTATCGTAGAAACAATTGATCACTGCAAAGAAGATGTTCTGTTCGCGACTTATAACAAGCGAAGAGGTGTTTCGCTTCGTTGAAACAGGGAAGGCGGGAACAGTTCGCGACAGCAGGGAGCAATAACAATTCACGATGCTTTGCGATAGAGGAGCGGGAGAGGGAGCGAGGTCACGAACTGGGCTCCATCCTTAACATATATATCTCACTATTTTTCTATTTTGCACTTGTTTTTCTTCATACAATATTTTACTAAGATATTGTGAGTACTATGAGAAAGGTTATTGCATCATAATGGATATAGATTTGAATTCAACAGCTCAAACTCCAAAAAATTTCACCTAATTTAAGTTAGCTTGCATAAACAAACAACCAAATAGACCCTAAATATCATTATGCAAAGCAATTTAATATAGAAATTAAAGCAAAACCAATGATCCTTCAAAATAAGCGATAATCGAAGCAATGGATCAATCCACATATAAAGGCAGTCGGTTTCATTAATTTTAAAGCACGACTTCCAAAGCACATTTGTTCCATCATTTTCACGCACCCAAAAAAAGAGTTATGTGCAAAAGAAGAACATGCCTTGGTCCATTTGTTCCATCATTTTCATCCAGAAGTTTGATGCTGAACTCTTTGTAAGAGAAGGGGAACTCCCCTGCAGTGTAAAGACTCCTCCTTCCATCATAAGCAGGCAACCTCGTCCCCAGCTCAGATTCCCTATAAAGCTTCACAAGCTCTTCAATAACACTCCTGTTGACATTCTTTGATGCCACCTCAGGTTTTATCTTCACCTATAGAAAGGTTCAGTATTAAAACTTCAATTGACATTCTATCATTAATGCCTCTTTTGCAAAATAGACCAGATGAAAATGTGCTTAAGAAAAAGCATGAAAATGAAAAACAAGCAAATTTCTCTAATTGTAGAATACCAAAATACAAATTTCCTACATCGTAGTGGATTAAATCATTGTTTGGAAGCTTTGTAAAGAAATGATTAGCCTTGATAATGACTCTAGTCCCAGACTGCCCAAACCCAGGCCTGGTTGGAAATCTCAGAGATTTTCTTGAAGAAGGAACTCCCAACTGAGAATCACACACAGGACCTTCATTCTCCAAACACCCTTTAGGAAGAATACAGCCATTAGCCTTTGGCGGCCTCAAAATAGAGAGCTCGTCGCACTGCGCGTTCTTCCTGGATCCTCTGCTTCGTCTCCTACTTCTGTTCTTCGCAGAAGATGAGTTCATGTTCTGCACCTCCGAGACCTGACGTTCTTGGGACGGATGCCCCTTGCAATTATGATAAGCTCTGGGAGCTTTATGAACTGCATTCGTAGGATTGTTCGCTTGAGACTTTATCACAAGGTGCTGCTCCGAACCTTCCTTCATCTGTCTGATAGGCATAGTTGCAAGTTGTGAAGAACTTGGGAAGAAGCAAAAGCTAGAGCTTTTCAAAAAACAAAGTAGTTTTCAGCTAATTAACTTCTTCTCTCTCTGCTGGAAAAACAAAAGGAGATATCAGAGTGCGCCATTAATGCATCCTCCAAAGCAAAAAAAGAGCAAAGTGGTTCTTTTTAACCGTTACTTTATAAGCAAAGAGAATGTTTTCCGAGAGATGAATAAATGCTAAAGTTGTTAAGTTGCTGTAAAAATTAAACACTTCACGAGCGACAAGGAAGAAGACATTCAAATTTGAACATCGAACACAACTAAACCTACCAATTTGAAAACTTTTTTTCCTGAGAATCTCAAATACTCTAGTCTTGAACCAATGATGAAAAAAAAAAGCAACCTTTCAGAAAGAGAAAAAAAGAAGAAGAAGAAATATAGCTTACTAGCGAATGAGCAGATCCATCAGAAAATTCAAAATCTTTCAAACATTTCATGCAAGCGCCATGGCCGAAGTTAAGCCGGTCTTGTCAATGAACAGGAACTCCGAATCCATAAAACGAACCAACTAGAACAATTACTGCACCCCAAAACAAAACTCACCGTCAATAAAAACCAATGGAAGTCGCATTTACTCCAAACCCAAAGCTTGCAGCAAAAATCCAGCAGCGGAGACTCTAAAACCAGGAAAGAACAAACGCAAGCAACACAAAAACAGAGCTTCCATGCCTCGCCAAAAACAAACAAATGAAAACAAAACAATCGCAAGGAAAAAGATAAAGGCGAAGATGTAAAAAATAAAAGACTGTGACAACCCAAGTACCCAAAAGAATACGATTCAGCCAGCCGAAGAGCACTCCTGAGGCACCAAAGAGAGAAAATTTATACAGCCTTTAAGCCACCCAGCAGCCAGTACAACCATCGTCTTTAATCATAGAGGAAAAGACCCAACTCAGAGGAGCTCCTCTCTTTAAAGCTAGTGCTAAAAGAGCGCAAAAGATTAGAGGCGAGGAGCAATAGAGAGAGAAGGGAGGGAGTGATGAAACCTATACACGCATGCAATGGTTTTGATGGGCTTCTTTTATCACGTGGAAAAGGAAAAGGGGGATTGGTTCAAAGAAAAGAGTGGCCATCCTATTTTATTCAAATTTTCACTTTCATTATTGTTTTTTTCTTTCTGTTTATTCAAAAGTGGCAACACATACTGAGATATAGGTGCTGGCTGATGGGGCTCTGGGTTCTGCTGGTTGACAGCTGCAGCAGCAACAGCACATAGGAGAGGGAGGAGGTGCTTTGGAACTTTATGGAGCAACCATATCCCACATATCATTTTATACTCCAATATATTAAATTATCAGTGGGTGGAGAGAGAGAGAGAGAGAGAGAGAGAGAGAGAGAGAGGGAAGCAACAAGAAATTAAATACAATAATCCATGGAAGAAGAATAATTGGAAACTCATCAGTCCTTGAGAGGCAGAGATCTCAATGCCTCCCCCATATCTCTTCGCTAAAGAAATGACCTATGAGCGTGCCTAAACTGAAGCCATACTGTACTGTCAAAAGAACTGGGAATATTATTAATTTTAGGATTATGGCATTGATGGCTTCTGCAACATAGATAGCATGGATGGGTCCTTTACGGTAGGTGACCATTGTGATCCCAAGGCTTTGATAATTTGGTCTGTTTCTTTCCTCTTTAACATCTTTGAAATAATATATATATATCATATAATTTAACTCATAAAATAGCTAAATATATATAAGATAAATTTACTTTATGAAGTACAGTCAAACGTTGCCTACATTGAGATAATATTATGACAGAATCCTAAATCACATTTTAACACAAAAAAGTAAATTCATGATAAAAATTAGCCTTGAATTTTTTTTTTTCTTCGTAATGACTATTCCAAGAAATCTACATTAGCAACATTTGGTGTCAAAAACATATTTATATCCCTTTCACTTTTAAAATTTAATAATAGTGATATTTTTTATATGATATTTGTGATTTGAGAATTATCTCTGTTAAAATAAAAATATAAGCCTTAGATATAGAAATATATACAAAATAATGTAGATCTTCAAAGAAACTGAAGCACTAAATGGGTATTTTGGGGCCTAATGAATCTGGTCTGTTTACCACTCATTTTAGAACACTGATCCTGATTGGATCAATCGTACAAAGTGGAAGTCCTATAGGCGGCTTATACCTGGTGCGACCTATAATCAATTTAAGAGAAATCTTGCTCTTCTCTTACAATATTTCATGTCAATACACTATGCAGGGTTCGGAGACCACTACACCCAACATTGACTAATTTAAAGTTTGAATAGTTCTGAAGACCGGCTAGGCAGAGAAGATACTAGCTCTCACTCTAGAGTTCCCTCAATTCCCTCCACCTGGGGGCTAACATTCTCATATCAGATCTATACCTGGTGCGACCTATAATCAATATAAGAGAAATCTTGCTCTTCTCTTATAATATTTCATGTCAATACACTCTATGCAGGGTTCGGAGACCACTACACCCACTCATTGTAAGTGTGGTTGATATATGTGTCTCGTTCATTCTTTATGAAAGAAGAATATGTGTTTGTCCCACACTTTTTGAATGAAGGAGGTTGATATCATTTTACGGATATGGTTTAGCTCGAAAGCTAAAAACTTTTGGTAGACCATCGTTATAGTCTAACTCCATCTTTATATCCTCACAGTGTGAGCGATTCTTATCATTGTGTCAGGATAATGCATGTTGCATCGGCTGCAGCATTCAGTTTACTTAGTCAGACTGTGCCTGAGTGGGATAACAATATACCTGTGATACTCCCCAATCAGGTCATCTCATTATGTGTTTGACAAAAATCTCTTTCTACATGTTAGGTTGTGACATTTTTCTCGACGAAGACCACGTTGCTCGTTTTTTAGGAAATCCCCAGCGGGGTTGCTAAGCCACGACTTACAAAAAGCACCCCGAGGTTGGATCGTCCCATGCACCCAACTCTTTGGATACCTCTCAATATTTCGATCAACTCCGTTGATACTATACATCATATCGAAAGGTATGTTGCGCTGACTATGGTCTACGTTTGCCTAGTCCGCCCATGCAGATATGAGGATGTTTTCATTCCCATGGAGTATCCCTAGTGAAATCCAGTGAAATATTCCCCAACGGAATCGTCTTATTAGACACTTGACAAAAATGCCTTTTATAGGTTAGGTTGTCGACTTTCCTTAAAAACAAAAGCCACTCTATTGGTCCATAAAGAATCCCTAGTGTATTCATTGCGCTACTACTTGTGAAAGCACTATGAGGTTGGACTATACTATGCATCCAACCCTCTTTGATACATTTATGGTAGTCTGACCGACTTGGACAAAATTGCTCGACATCTCAAAGTGCATGTTGCGCTGGTTCAAGTCCTTTGTGCCTCGATTAGTCCATGCGTAAGACGGATATCTTTATGCACGCAGAAAATCCCCAGCGAGGATCACTTGAAATTCCCAGCGATGGTCACTTTGCTTAAATATTGCAAGAGTATTGCAAGGTCGGATTGCTCTACACATCTTGCACATTCTTTCATGCCACTTCTGACTGGTCTGAGTTTTTTCACCACACCAGAACAAGGTGCTCAAGTCCTCATGGAGCATCCTCTAAATAGCCTAAAAGGTATCCCCAATGAGAGTCTTCTCGTGAGTACATTCGAAAATCACATCTCCAGTGATTCCTTCAACTTGGTTGATCCTATTCACCATGTTGAGTCGTGTGTCGTACTAATCTTAGTTTTATGGTAGCCCAATTAGTCCATGATTGAGTTGGGCATTTTCATGCCCGCAAAACTCCCCAATAGGAGCCGACTCGCTAAAGTCCTTGAAGTACTATGAAAGTGTATTGCTTTGTCCACTCACCCCTTCAATATATCTGCCTAGGTTGATTCTTATCGCCTTGTCATTTGATACACTGTATTGGTTATACAACTTCAGTTAGTTGATCGATCCTTGTCCAGTCGTGATATTTGGATATCCGATGATAAAATGATGTTGTATACGATGAGAACCGCTTTGCTCATTTCTTGCCAATATGTCTTGGATTGTTAGACCACTTTGCCCGTATAGCATATAATGTCTCTCAAATCATATGTTCTAGTCGGTTCTTTCATGAGGATGTCTCATCTCACAATGATTCTTTGACTCTCTAGCCACCTGCTACGATGTTTCTCGAGTCATATGACCTTAGGGTCAGCTCTGTTATGAGGACATCTTATCTCTTGACACTTATGGCTTTTCAGTCACTTATTATTATGGCATTCGAAATGCACAACCTTTTTAGACAGTTCCCTCATGAGAGCGTGATTGACAACTTGGATTACATGAGGTAATCCAACCTTTTGCCTTGTGTACCTTTAAGGATGAATGTAAATCCCTCGGTGTCTCTCCTTACCAAAGCAAGTATTTAAGGCTTCGTCACTTTTCACAGGGAGTCACACCCCTGCGGCCTCTAGACTCGCCTTTCGGGTCAAGCTTCTATGGCATCTGAACACAGTTGTTGAGTCATGCCAATACGGTCTCTTGGTCTGTCTTTTAAATCACGCCCCTACGGCCTCTGGACTCAACTTGGGTCATGTGTGATAGACAAACTGACAACTCATTTAAAAATAAAAAAAAACAAGGAACGAAAACAGAGTGACCAACTAATTGATACAATCAAACTCCACAAAATAACAACAATATCAATCACACCAATATAAATAATTACATCACAACACAAAAAGAATAAAATCCTTATCATGATGATGTTAATACAGTGACCAAAATACAAAATGTTATGTGATCTCTTCATCATTTATTTTCAAAGTAAAATCGAGAAATTGAATCACTCGTTATGATTGCCTTCTTTTTCTGCGTAAATGATGGTGGCTTAGATTCTTACAGCGAGATTCAGAATATCTATGAATCAATTACACTTTTGACCCTTTCCGAGCTGATGATTGTAAGGGAATAGTAATATCTCATCGATCATGCGCTCTGTGATTTTTGCAGCTTTAGGTCTGCTTTTGCATTTGCGGGGCTTGGTGAGCCCAAAGGCCATAATTCCTTCTCAGAACTTTTGGTTTTAATTAAATTTCAATCTCTAGGCTGATTACTTTGATCTTTTCTTCCTCCACCTCATTAGCTTGCAATAATTGGCAAAACAAGGTTTATAATTACTGTCGTCAAAAAAGTTTAAATGCTCTATTTGCATTAATGCCCCTTGCAAAGTACAGTTTTGCCTCATAGCTTTTCAGTTTATCAAATCGCTGGTCCCCCGCATGAATGTGAAATCATTGCAAATTTCTCTTATAATATGTATATATATATCTTTATATC